CATTAAGGCTAAATTTGCCACGTGGCAACCTACGATTAGTTGTTATTTATATAATTTAAATTTTAAAATAACAATCTAATTAATTATAAAAAAATAAACAAATAAAAAAAACATAACTCACCTACCATAACCACAACCACAGCCCAGCCCCAGCCACCACCCGCCGGCGTGGTTTCCGTAGCGCCGGCGCCACCCCAAACCCGACACAAACGAGCCTACGCCGCTGATCCACCGCCACCCTAAACCCGACACAAACCACCCACTCCCCAATTTTAAAAGCCCCTTAATATCTTTTTCGAAAACCCCTCTCCTCCCCACCGTCGGTGTCCGAATTCCCATCACCATGCCAGCGAACCCAAGCCGCACCTCCCCCCAGTCGTATCCATCCCCTGAACCACCACGCCGAACCCCAAAATGAAAAACCCAAGATCGAAACCCTAGATTTGATTTTTAAGGTTTCGATTTTGGGGTTTTAATGTTTAGGGGTGGTAGTTTTTGGCTAAGAGTACCGGTGAACCCAAATCCCCCTCCCCCTGCCATCTCCAACCCTATGAAACACCACGTCGATTACCAAAATCAAAAACCCTAAAAACTAAAACCTAGGGTTTTGATTTTGGGGGTTTAATGTTTCAAGATGATGGTTTTCGACTTAGGTGGGTAGCAGCGGTGTGGGGGAAGGGATTGGGCTGTCGACGAAAGGGTTTCGGGGGTGGTTGCCGGATTTTCGGCTTAGGTTGTTCGGCGGAGAGGGGTTTTGCGATTCAAAGCAAGGAGGGAAAATAATGTGGTGGTTCGAGGAAGGAGCGAGCACCAGCGCGGGATTGGTGGAAGGGGCGGCATCGGTGTAGTGAGGAGGCCGATGGATGGCGGTTGTGGGGTGGTGGCTGGGCTTAGGGTTCGCTGTTAGAAGGTGACAGGTTGGGGTTAAAGGTGATTTTTTTTTTTGAAATTTTAATTTAGTTTTTCTAAAATATATATATATATATATATATAATATTTAGTTAAATAATTTTAAAAATAACCAATTAGATCAGATCCAGCCATGTGGCGTACTTAACCCTAATGACTAACGGAGTTAACATCCGTTGGTCATTTGGGCAATTGCTGACATTTTTTATAAACTTAGGGATATATAGTAAATTTGAAAATTTTCTGGATATAAGGTGAATAAAAAAAATAACTCACAAGTATTTGGTGAAATATCCGAATATTTTATTTACTTCTAATATTTTTTATTTTCTAAAAAAGGCAGCAAAGAAAAGGGAAGTTAGGGCATGTTCATATTTACTGAACTGAGCTTAAATGGACTGAATTGAACTGAACTGAACTGAATTGAACTGAACTGAATTGATTGGAGCTGAACTGAACTGAACTGATTGGAGCTGAACTGAACTGAAAAATTAAAATACATAAATCTGAACTGGACTGAACTGAACTGAACTGAACTGAACTGATTAGAGTTGAACTGAACTGAACTGAACTGATTGGAGCTGAACTGAACTGAACTGAAATGAACTGAAAATAAGTAAATATGAACAGACCCTTAATCATGAATTTATGAGATAGCGGTTTCTATCTCAAATAGCCTATCTCTATCTCCTCGATGTTGAAGGTGCAGGCTCACGAAGTAACGGCCGCAGCCGCAACCAATGCCGCCCACAAATTCTCTGTCCTCTTTCCTTTTCTCACTTCTCTAGCTTGGTATTCTAGGGTTTTGCGAGCCTTCATTTATGAAATTCTCACATTTTCTCTTCTTTAGCTTGGTATTCTAGGGCTTAACAAAATTTGTTGTTAATTCCGAAAACATTCTTCCTAATTTGTGAAATTTGGGCTTGGTTTAGGGAGATCAAAAGAATTTTCTCTACGCTTCACCAATTAGAGAAAAGACGATCTAAATAGAAAGAGGAGACGATTGCTAGGTCTAGTTTGTCTTCTTCAATTGTTGAATTTCTTAACTATATTTATAATTTCTGGAATTTTTTACATAGTTTGGTTCAATTTTATTTCAATTGCAATCATACGTCATCATTAGACTATGAGTTTTTCTATCAAGCTATTTGATGTCACTTCTTAATTTGATTTTTCTGTTAATTAAATTAAATTCGACAATTATGTATCCGATTTTCTCAAGGAAGTTTCACAATATGACTGCTTTTTTTTTGTCAAACTATTCGTTGGAGCACGCGCTACGCGCGAGCCTCCCCGACGCTAAGATATGTAAGTTTCGTGATTGTGATCATATTTCGTATTTTGGGGTGTTAATAGCATGTTGATTAGGGGAGCTTAATTTAATGTTTTGTAAAAAAAAATTGATGTATTGTTAATGTTAATCGTGTGTGATTATCTTGAATATCCGATTTTTTCGAACCAAATATCCATAATTTTTGGATCGAATCATCGAATTTTCAGAGTTATAACAATCATTAATTCTTGATATAAGTTTATTATGATTTAATTAATAAGTTTATAATAATTCTAAGCTATATTCGCGTAATTAATTTTTATCTTCAAATTTGTTTTCTCCCTACCATAAATAGGATGTTCTTGTGTTTTTGGAAAGAGCGATAATGGCTTTAAACAATAGAGTAAGTTGAATTCTAGTTTGGTTGATTGATTAAATAAGTATTTAAGAGTACTGTTGTGTATGTATAAATATGAAATGCATGATAATGTGTTTACTTTCTCATATAAGTACTTAATGGCTTTTAAGAGTACTAATTAATAATTTCTCTCTCTCGCTCTCTCTCTCTCTCTCTCACACACATTTATCTCCTTTCTGACTTTATCTCCCCATTTTTTATATATATATATATATATATATATATATATATATATATATATATATATATATATATATATATATATATATTTTAAATGGCTTTGAAATTATAAGTTCACTTGCTTACATTTCACTCATCTCTTCCTTTATTGGCCCAAAGTCTTTCATTCTCTCTTTCTTTTATTATAATCCTTCTTATCCTTGTTCCATTTGAAAAAATAGCCTTTTAAAACTATAAGCTGTATTTTGTCGCCGCTTCCCCCCCCCCAAAAAAAAAAAAAAAATTATCTTTCTTTCTATCTCTCCTGAGCCTTTTATGTCTCTCACTTCTCTCTATTACCCTTCCTCTTTCGGCCACTCTCTCTCTCTCCCATCCCCTCTATTTCTCTTGAGTCTTTGCCCTCATTTTCTCTATATCTCACTCTCTTTTTCCCAACCCCTCTTTCTTATCCTCTCTCTATTTACCTAAATCCTTTTTCCCATCTCTTGGCTCTTCTCTCCTAGCCCTTCTCTATCTATCCCCTAACATGCCCTTTACTCTTAGCTTCTAGCCTGCCTTTTTTCTTTCTCTTTTATTTTACCTTTTCTCTCTTTCATAGCACCTTTCTCTTTTAGCCCCTCTCCCCCCTCCTCTCGCGACCTTGCCTTCTCTCTGTTTCCTAACACATTCATCTCTCAACCTCCCTCTCTCTTTCTCTCTCTTTCGACATTGCCTATTCTATCTATCTATCCATTCTTTTTGTTTCTCTTAACCTCTTTTCTCTCCCGACCTTTTTCTCTCTCTCTTCCATCTCTTTTCATTCTTGGCTCCCTCTCTTTTTTCTCTTTACCCCTATCTTCCTTTCCCATCCCCCTCTTTTTTTTCTCTCCCTATCCTCATATATCTTCCTCTCTATATATCTCTCTTTCTCTCCTCTCTCGAGTCTCTCCCACTCTTTCTCCCCCTTCCTATCGCTTACCCTCTATCTTTCTAAAGTTATCTATAACTATAATTGTATTAACATTAAGAAAAGCATTTACTCATGGATCTAACACGATATTTAATCATAATGTTGAAAAGTTTATTCTGAAGGTGATATTAATCAGTTTGATGCCTCAATTGTCACAAAAATCACGTTGTTTAATTAATATTCCCTCTGTCCCCAAATAATAGTCCCTTATGTGCGAAAATCACGGGAATTAAGAAACTTAAATAAAAGTAGTATTATTACACTGAAAAGATAAATTTTACATTGGATATGTAAAATAATAGAGAGAGTAAGTAATAAAAGTACATTGAAAAACTTTTTTTTTCTTTCTTTTTTTTTTTAGGCAACATTGAAAAAACAAAATTTACATGGGAAAGTTAAATTTGCACAAATATTGTTGCAATTGGAAGGAATTTTGATAAAAAAAATTGATATTAATGACAAAAAAAAACAAATGGGACTATCAATTTGAGACTAAAAATAGACAATAGGGGACTATCATTTGGAGACTGAGGAAGTAACCTTTACTAATTATTAAAAGAAGCGTGTCCAAATCTAGTTGTCAAAATCTAGTCCCCCTATCTTGCTATCTCTTTATTCCCTCCCATTAGCTTCCTCGATATTTCACTCATCTTTTGTAATTTTGACTATTTAAAAAAGTAGTGTCATCTCCTTATTCCTTTAATTCCCAAAACTCGCTCTCTCTCTTTTCTTTTTGCTCCTTTTAAATGGACTCATAACTTATAGGTCACTCGCTCTCTCCCTCTTCTCTCTCTCCCCTTTTCAATGGGTTATTTTTTGGTGTTTTCACCTCTATCCTCTCATCTACAGTTCTACGTTCTTATTGGTATCTTGGGTATCCCTTACTCCAACCCTAAATTTTGTTTAAGTTTTCAACTCCTTATTCTACTTGTTATTGAGAAAAAGTAACAATTTTGCAACTACATGCTTTCATTAAACACCCAATCGGTTATAATTGCCCCAAGGAAAAGTGAACGAATACCGAAATAACTTGTAAGAACTCTTATACATCAATAAGAAGCCGAAAGTAGTACAATGACCCTTGATTATGATACTCTTCTACATAATGTTCTCAGCATACACACGTTGATATTCATCCAACAAAACAATGAACAATTAAAAAAAATTGAAGTTACATGGTTTGTATGGTTATTTAGCTTGTTTGTTGGCTTGTTTTATTTATGTTATTTGTGCAATTCACCTGTTGCTATATAGAAAAATGCGTCCGCACATAATAAAATTGAAATTGTATACATAACGTGATATGTAACATTCATACAAATGGAAGAACAAAGCCACTAATTATGATTAATCTTAAATTCTCAAAATATCCATCTGAGTAACATCAAATGTAAGAAACTATTCAAGGACATTTTAAAGCTATCTTAAACTAAAACACTGAAATGGATTACCTACTTATCTTCACCAAAAAAAGAAAAAAAAAATTAACAGTCTGGCAAAAATTATCCGGTACCCATAATTTATTATTAAAACCCAACAAAACCAATCAATTGTTTCCATAAGCAGATACCCCAGACCTCGACCTTCTTCTAATGAGCTGAAAAATACAAACATAACACATTGATTATTAATCCTTTCACTGGAAGGGGAGCAGGAATGAGACACAGTCACACAGATCACATACACAATATGTCACACTTACATGCAAGTAAACTTACGCACTCTTCTAGTTTTACGAGCAGGCTGATTGAACCAAGTCTTGACATAGTTTTGTTAGTCTTTTGTTAGTTCTTCTAGAAACGGGCATTAGGCACACACAACATTATTATGCATTACCATGGCTTACCTGCATAAACAATCAACGGCTCACTAAACCCAAAAAAATAAAAAAATCTAAGCAAACTTTATGCATGCATCTGCAAAACCACCCACATTACAGTAAATTCAGCATACAGTATGTTTATAAGACATAGCAACAGATTTCAGTAAAAATACAAATACAACATTACCTTACACATTCATATATCAACCAAAATAGACAAATATAACAACATTCAATATCATGTCCATACAGAGCCCCACTACAGATACAAAACAATTGAATAGCAAATAAGGCAAAGCTAAAATAGCTATATTCCATTGAATATACAAAGACTATGACTCATCTCTAACATTCTTTCTTCTAAATTCTTTAAAAGGGTACATATAGTTAAGGAAAGATGCTAAATTTGAATCAAATTCATTAAGCAGCATCAACTAAACATAAACAACATATATGGTCACACTCAAATAGCATCAACCAGGTCACCCTCACACCTGCCCCCATCACTAATAATGCAAAATTGCCAAATTGGACATTCCAGCATTGGTGGCGGTAGTGCCTTTCCATACATATAATATCACTCATCAATCAATACAATTCACTAACCTAGAAAGACACAACCACTTATACCATAAAGAACCCAATGTCCCTAAGACAATTGGATATAAGTACTAATATTGTGATGAAAATAACACCACTTATTAGTATTCTGTTGCAATAAATTTAAGAAACAAATTTAGGAAACTGAAGAAACCAAGAAGAGAAGAAAGTCTACCTCTGACATTATAACAAATGGTATCCCTCCCATTCCTCCTGGGTAGATCTGTAGTAATCATGAAACCGAGTATATGTCACAATGATTTTTTATTTGGGTTAGATCAATTTTGAAGTTATAATACTCCGTATATGTTAACATCAGGTCATGTAATTTCTAAATGATTAAGTTTAGTTTGTAGGTTGAATAATAAGACAAATTCAAGTAGTTTAAGTTCTCTAATACTCTATTGAATGATGTGTATTACTTTGATTTGAGCTGCTTCATGAGCTATATCAAATTTCTTTCCCCTAAGTCTTCGTAAAATAGACTCACAACTTTTTTCATGACCAACCTTTACTTGCATTCAGCTTCCTATTCCTTCATAAAAATTATTGAGACATTAAATTAAATATCATAATTTTATAGTAAGGTATATTCTAAAAATGCATCTGTGAAACAATTTATAAGAAATCATGTGCCACTCAGCTCCTACTTATTTTCCCTCTAAAGAAAAATACATCAACACACGAGAATGGACTCAACGATCCACAATGGAGGCTATATTAATAAACTAAATAAATTACAATGTAATTAAACAGATTTACCAAATTACTTCACAAAAGAATAATGTTATCTATTTAACTATGAGCATTTTGGATTAAATTGCACAACTAAATTCATTTTTTGTATCTTCCCTAAACTCTGAGACTTGTTGTTGTTGTCTTTGTTGTGCAGCTGCCACTTCATTATCTTGTTTCTCTCTTTTTGCTAATTCAATTCAAAGTTGATGTTGCTCATACAAAATTTGAGCCTTTTATCAATATACTTAACTATCACGATAAAACCACAACTCAGGTAGTAAGCCTAATATAGTGCAGACAAATGATGAAAATGTTTTCCACCAAATGCCTTCTATGTGCTTTATCCCTTTCGTTTGTTTCTATAGTCTACACCCATTTCTAAAAATTTAATTCATGAAAAATAAATTGTCCTTAATTAATCTCCAAACCAAGTGTGATTGTGCGACTTATCTAGGAATGAAGTAACATTACATCTAACCTCATTTTGCCTATCTTTCTAATTAAGACAAGAAAAATTCAAATAAAGCTAAAATAACAGAAGATTTAACTAATGAAATGTTGTTGAAGACAAAGCAGCAATTAACAGTTTCTAGCATCACTAATATTTGTGAATTGTAAATTATTTTAAAGATATATGGTTAACCTCTAACTCAAGATCAAGACCATCAGATTGCATCCCAGGATGACCAGAAACTAACAAGCCAGCTTTGCTGATTTGATCTTTGAAAAACCTCTAATTTCTTGACATCTCTGCACATCACTTCACCTATAGCAGTAGCTCGAAATCTATGTTAGTCAGTCATAGGGTATGGATCTCAGCCTCTCAAGGCATGCATATAGCAGACATATCAAGAAAATTCTAGGAAACTAACACTGATATGAGGATAGTCCTTATTCTATCTTATTAAAAAAAAAAAAAAAAAAAAAAAAGATAGTCCTTATTCTATAAGATATTTATACAAATACATTAAATAAAATAGAAATAAAATATTTTCTTTTTTACTCTAGGATTAGATTTCTTAATCAAATACACATCACAATCGTTAAAATATGGGGTTCTTTTTGCTATAGGCCTAGCCAGTGAAAATTTGGAATGGTCCTCTCAGCACTATACCTTGTTATCCTATTCATCTTTTCTTCAAAATAAGAAATAAATAAGTAAATATGATAAAGGAGTTTCATTAAACAAGGGTATATAAACATACTATGTAACACATAGCCACAATTGAGCATAAATTTGTATTCATTTTCAACTATCAATGCCTATAATAAGCTTAAAAGGAAATGTCCCCCCAAGTAGACAGCTCCTTGCTTCTTGCATCTTTTCATAAGCTTAGCCGTTTGAGCATTACTTAAAAGAAGCCTTCTAAAGTACATAGGCAAAAACAGAAATGCTGCCTAGGCATTAAAAAGGTACCTGATTCACAATTGTTCATTGAAAAGGGCTCTTATCAACGTTAAGCTGCACAATAGGTTACAAATTAACATTAATCCAACAACCACAACTCAATATAAAGAATGATCAATATATTGGATCTCAAAAACATTGATTAGCCAGACAATCGTCTAGGCGGGAATCACAATTATTAGAATTAGGTTCCCAGTAACATTACTATTTTGCATAAAAGCAAGAAGTCACTCACAGAGTTCAAGATACTTATGAAGTTCAGAGTTCAGAAAGCATTTGAGCGGAATGCTTGAGAACTTCTCTGAGATTATCTTCGATCTTCTCGATCTCCTCGATCTCCTCCTCTTTTCCCCTGTAACTCAACAAAGCAGGGCGAGCAAGCGAGAACTACAACTTAGTTGTATCAGGGCTAGCTGACAGATTTGAGCAACTCTGCATAAAGGATTTAAAAGCCATTTGCATACAACCTACACAAAATCCTACAAATAGAACAATCAAATATATTCAAACTTTAACATTTCACTTATTCATTGACATATGTATTCCTATTTTCTAGAACAGTACCCCAATTATCTTAGCAGAACAAAAGGTAATAAATTAAATAGCAAATTTTCAACCAAATTTAAAACAGGTCACTAATTATCAATACTAATGAATGTAATTCAGAAATTCTAAAATAACACAAGCATCACTAACTCAATCTTATTACAACTATAAAATTAGTCATAATCACAACAAAATCAATAATGAACGATACAAATACAAACAACCCATAATCCACAAATCTGTATAAACATCATCAAAAAATAAACCCTTCAATACTCACTACACAAATACTTAAATTATTAGTAATCAAACAGTCTTTCCTCTTTTTATGGAAGTAAAGTAATATGGGCATAGATAGACAATTCGATACAAAAGCTATACCCTATATTGTCAAATTCATATTAGATGATTATAAGAAGGATACAGATCTTATATCAAGAAGCTGCTTCTATGGAGGAGGAAATTGACACTCAGCAAAAAACTGAATGAAACTCAGAAGCAATTTTTTTTTTTTTTTTTTTTTTAGAAAAAAGAAATAGAAAAAGAACCAGAAAATCCATTTGTGGAAAAAAATCAGAAATTAACAAAAATTAAATCAGTCAACATTCAAACAAAAGGAAAAATCTAATCAAAGAGCTAAATATTAAACCAATTAGAACACGAAAGTGAAAGGAGACAAAATTATACCTGGAGATCAGAGATAACAGCATTGGAGAATCAACAAATTACCTCTCAAGCTGCTTCAATAAAGAGGGAAGTTCAGAAGTTACTTCAGTGGGTTTAACAAAAGAACACGTAATAATAAACAAAATTCCAAACCGAATTAAACAATAACGGTGCAAATAAACCCTAATTTAAGCATTACCCAAAACTCTTTAACAACAAAATACTTCTTTAATGTGTAATATAACCACTCAAAACTCTCACCAATTCACTTGCCAATTTACTCAAAACAGTTCAAATTTCACGGTTCAAATTTCTCAATCAATCAAAGTAAAATTCCATCAATTCCACAAAACACAAACAAACATCAACAACATCAGATAAGTATTCTAAAATTAACAGACTGAACATCCAATAATACCTCAATATATTCACCTCAAACTCAAGTCCACCAAACCTGGTTCCATCTTCTCCTTTTGCCTATTTTAGAGAGAAAATAGAGAAACAGGAGGACGAGAAGAAAAAAAAAAAGGGCGAAAAAAGAGGAGAAATTAACCAAAAAACAAAAAAAACAGTCAACATTCATATATAAAAGGTAAAATCTAATTGAAGAGAAGAGATGAAAATTGGATCAATTATTAGAACAAGAAAGAGAAAAGAGAGATAATTATACCTGAAGATCGGAAACTCATCTTCCACAACCGTAAGTCTGTAATCAATAATCTTGTTTCAATTATAGCAAATAAACTTAAATTAGCATCATTCAAACACCCTAGTAGACCTACAAACATTATCTTTATCGCATTATACTACTACTTTGAGTACTTTCACAAAATTGGAGAAAGCCCATAACAACTAAATTTTACACTATAAAACACACTAATAATCACCCAAAAAACAATTCAAAACAAAAATTGCATGCACACTTTTGCAGCATCAATCATAAATCTTATCATGTAATTACAAATTATATCAGATAGCTCAATTAACAGTAATTTCTATAACATTCAAAACCACGGTTTAGAAAACTAAATTCCAACAATAAAGCAAGCTACAGTGCTACACCGATCCACTCAAAACCACCCAACTATGACATTAATAACATCGAAACCAGCAATTAACAATTGAATAATCAAAATACAATAAAATCAACAGATACCCAAACCATAAATTATATACACTAATCATAAATTAGTAGAAGTATTGAAAAAAAAAAATCCAAGGAAATGGGCCGTACCTTATTGGATCTAGGTTGGAAAAAATGATATAAAAATTGATTCATAGTATAATTGATTCAAAATATCACCTCCCCCGCGAAACCTGATAACAAAGAAGAAGTCATTAGATCATACCACATTAATTCAGCTTGTCACGCATCAATTTTCACATAATTCCATTAGCTTAATTTGCAAAACTTAATTCCCATAGCTGATAGCTCAATTCCCAAATCACGACCTTCTATTAAACCGAATTCTACCAGAAATGATTCCGTATATTTTTTTTAAGAAAATTGAATTACAAATGGGGTTTTTGTTATATTAGTTGGTAGTTTAATATTAAGAAAGGAGTAGAATTATACCTGAAGATCGGAGCAAACGACATCAAGAATCATCTTCCACAAGCTCCCATAACCATCATCGAAGGGATGATTGGTGGTTTTGAGCTCATCGCCATTGTTGTTGAAGGAAGACATATTTTCTCTCTCTAGCTTTCTCTCTCCTTGTTTCCATAAAAACTCTGAGCTTTTTTCTGAGATGAGAAGAAAGAGAGCTAAGGGAGTAGGTAAGGGAAGTCGGCGTGAGAAAGCACTCAAGCTGTCAAGCATGAAGCATCAACCAATTAGAATAAAGGGCATTTTCGGAATTCCATTAATTTCGGGGGTGTTAGTGTAATAAACGCCACAAGTTACTGTTACTAAGTTCCCACTTTTATTAAGGGTTATAGATTAGTTTGCTGGGAGTAGTAAATTAACTTTTGAGTTATATTTCTATAATACTGACAAAGAGTATTTTCAGGCAAACTTTTGCAAAGGCATTGACAAAGAGCTCAAAGGAGGTATCAACCAATATTAAATTTAATAGTTTATATAATTGTCAATGCACTATACTCTTATATGCTTGATAATTGGAAGGTTTAGGCAAATACTTGGTTGTGACAATTATTGTTGATGCATTTTGAAACTTGATTGTGTATAAAATGTCTATTTAAAGAGGTATATAATTGGAATGAGAGTTTTATATCTATGCTCAACTGTTCGGGTGCCCGACTATATAATTGACAATTATTTCTTTTTTCTTTTTTTTTTTTTTACTCATTGCTTGTATGTTGCTGCTTGTTAGCATATCAAGACTACTAATTAACTAAAACATTGGTTATATAGTAATATTCTTATCTTAATTAGTACTTCGTAGTTTTATTGCTTACTTGTAGAATTCAAAGTAGTTTTATTCTTGTTGAATTCAGAGTAGTCTTATTTAGTAGTTTTATTGGTTAAATAGTATTAGTCTTAACTTAATTAGTATAATTCATAGTAGTTTTATTGCTTACTTGTATTTTGTCTAGGCATGGACATTTATAGATATGATCAAGTGACATGTGCATCCCACATAATGACTTGAATTTGTAATTTGTTCATCAAGGCCTTGCCTTCCAAGATATGTGATGTAAATGACTTTTTTGCAGTGGTTGTTGGGGAAATTGCTAATTTGCATCCTATGCTTTTGCACCAGCTATTTTGGTGACTCCACTTGGTGCAAGTTTTTATCATTATAAAGTAAGTAGTTGGATTCGATGTGTTCTTGAAGGCTTAATTTTCAGGTATATGTTGATTTTTTTTACTGAAGTGTTTTTCTTATGTTATTGCTTTAGTTCTACCCTTACACATATTATTTTGAGAGAGAGACTTCATATGTTCGAGGTACTTGGTTGTATATTATGTGTTGTGGGTTCAATAACCATTGATTTTCATGAACCACAAGAGCACCAAATTGAGTCTGTTGCAGAAGTATGGGATCTAGCCATAGAGCCAAGTTTTACTCTGTTACCATCTAAATTATCTATGAATTGGTGATAGATGCTAGCTTTCTGATGTAATCTCTAGGCCTTACTCTAACACGTCTTCTGTAGCTTAGTTTGTTATGAAAGAAATTATTGGGTTTGCTATGGTGACTGGGAAATCTTTTTGTTCTTCCACCAATTTTGTGTCATATTCTTACTTTCTTTTTTTGTATTTTTTATATTTGTTTCCATTTTTTATAAAAAAATTACTATAAAACCTGATTATCCACCATTGGTATTGCAAATGAGAAAGTACAATGTGGCAGGGAAATTAAGTATATGCTTATCTATCATTATATTAAAACGTAGTTGATATTGATAGTTGCATAACTTTAACCTTCTTTTTTGTCTGCAACGAAGGATCATTCACCTTTAGGTAAGTTGTGTGGTTATTGTTGAATCACCCCCTCCCCTAAAGTATCCGTAATTGCATTCCGCTTGATTTCTCAAACCTTCCTAGCATGGTCAATCTCAATTTGATTCTTGGATCTTTTTATTGATTAATATTCTTGGATGATATTACTATTTCAATTCAACAATGTGGGTAGTGAAGTTTTAATCAATGCTCAGTAGAGAACGTGTAGGAATTATGGTAGTTTTGCTTTCCCTTTCCTTTTATTGGTGCAGGGATTTAATTCTTAGTTTCTTAAAAGTGTTCTTGTTTATGCAGTTTGATGACAAGGTTGCTTTATTTAATTTAGGTTTGTATTCCATTTGGTTAATATATTATAAGCTGACTATTGAGCATTTGTTCCTCTAAATGTCTTCAATTTACTTGGGCAGATACCTCTCTTATGTTTGATTAGAAATCTAAACATGGTCTGGTTCATGATTGCTAAGTGGTTTATTTGTCCACTGATTGTAGTAATCTTAACCAGCTTTTATAATCATTTCTTCTACTTTTCTCCTCTCTCTAATTCCTTTTGTATATATAGAAGTTGTATTTTGGCATTGCCGCCTCTTTTGTGTGTGTTTGTGTTTATGCTTGTAGGTATAAGAAGATTTAACAAGCTAGCAAAGCAAATTGAGGAAGACAAGAGAAATCAGAGAGGGTGTGCACCTCCCTAGGAACGACCTCTCCTACCACTACACCACAAACTGCATCAGCCAGCAAAAATAGGAGCAGGCTACTACTACTGCTGTTTTTTGCTGTTAATGTTGTATTTTTGCTGCTACTGTAGTCTGGTGCTGGTGCTGACTCCTGCTATTACTGTATGCTGCCACTGCTTGTCCTACTATTGGTTGCTGCCATTGGTGTCAGCTACTGTTGTTTTTTGCTGTTACTGCTGTTTTTTTGCTACTACTGTTGTCTGATGCTGACTCCTGCTACTGCTGTATGCTGCCACTGCTTGTCCTACTGTTGGTTGCTGCCACTGGTGTCTGCTACTGTTGATTGCTGCTACATACTACTGTTGGTAGCTTTTGTTAATGCTGATGTTGTTCTTGTTTACTGCTATCGCCGACTTTTTTTTTTTTGAAATTCAGAAGTTTTTCTTTTCCTTACTTTTCCAAGCTAAAGATCAAAGTTGATTTTCTTTTTGTTTGAGTTATTATATTGTTTAGCCAAACATTAAAATTGGTGTGTATGGATTTTTTTTTTTTTTGTAAGAATTATGAAATTATTTCAATCCAAATTGTTGTTTATATTATCATATACTTGTATGTTAATTTCTCATTCATAGTAGTTGTAAATATTCAATAATAATAATAATAATAATAATAATAATAATAATAATAATAATAATAATAAATGTTACCTATTAATTAATAGAGTGTTACATTAGTTTGTAAAAAGTGATACATAATGTCAAATAAAGTGCTCTGTATGTCAAAAGATGATTGAGAAATGTTACCTAATAATCAACAAAGTGTTACATTTATTCGAAAAAGTGATACATAATGTCGGATAAAAAGATACTATATGATTGAAAAATGTTACTAAGGATAAGTAAGTGTTATATAAGAATTAAAAAGTAACACTTTAAAAATGATACTAATAATATAAAAAGTGTTACATAAGAGGGCTTATTGTAACACTTTTGAAAGTGTTACCATACAATACCCAAAGTGTTACATAAGGCCTTAGGTAACATGGGCGGAAGTATCACCCAATAAAGTGTTACCTATTATCTATAATAACACTTTTACCACTTTATGTAACACCTTTTGGGTGTTACTTGAGGTTAGTTTTGTACTAGTGAATAAAGCCATTTTGAGCCGAAATGGCTACTCACTTGCCTATTTTCTTCATTTCTCAACTTATAAACGTATTCATTCTCAAACCATATCATAATTACATATTTATAAGTGATTGTGAGTTGAAATTACATAAAAGAAGCAAAGTTCTAAGTTTTTGGGCCTATTTCATCACAATAAAGCCATTTTTAGCCGAAATGGCTTCTCACTTGCCTATTTTCTTCATTTCTCAACTTATAAACTTATTCAATCTCAAACCATCTCATAATTACATATTTATAAGTGATTATGAGTTGAAATTACGTAAAAGAAGCAAAATTCTATAAGTTTTTGGGCCCATTTCATCAAAATAAAGCCATTTTGAGCCGAAATGGCTTATCACTTGCCTATTTTCTTCATTTCTCAACTTATAAACTTATTCATTCTCAAACCATCTCATAATTACATATTTATAAGTTATTGTGAGTTGAAATTACATAAAAGAAGCAAAGTTCTAAGTTTTTGGGCCCATTTCATCAAAATAAAGCCATTTTGAGCCGAATTAACTTATAATATGCCTATTTTCTTCATTTCTTAACTAATAAACTTATTCTTTCTCAAACTATTTCAGATTTCGCATGGAAGAAAAACTTCAAAGATAAAGACGGTGAAGAAGCCTAAAAGCATTGATCAACCTAAGAAGAAGCTAAGTGAACAAAGGTCCAAGAGTGAACAAGCGTCGAAGTTGCACTCTTCGAAAGGTTCACCCATGCAACCTACTCCACTAGTTGAAGACATTGTTCTTCAATCGCTCTCTACTGACATGACCTTTCTTCACAACCGTGCTTGTCATTTGGTCGATCCATGGAAGTTGCACTTCCTAAGGCAATGTTCCACTATGATGAGGATGCAGTTGCATGGATCAGCAAAGAAGATGTGAAGGAATTTCTACGTGGTGCAAAGCTTAACATTTCCCTCATTCATACATTCATGAGGTACTTCAATGCCCACATAATCTACACTTTTTTCAAGTTATTCAAATTTATGGTGATTATCCTACATGTGATTAATTATTCAATGTTCATGCACGCAGAGCACTACAGGAGCACTTAACTGAAACTGATTCTCCTTGTAAAGTTGGGTGGTTATGCCCCGAGCAGTTATCCACTACTAGAATCATAGGCAACCCCCATGACGTGTTTTACTATGTTGAGCAAAGTATCAGGGAATCAGTGTGTGCGGGAGACAAGTTCATATTCGCCCCATGTTATAAAGAGTAGGTCTAACCATGTCAAATTCAATTATATGTTGACTCCTAAATATTACTTGCGTGTCTATTGTGAACTTATGTAGGGAGCATTGGAGCCTCATGGTGTTTTGTAATTCCAATAACACAATTTATCACCTTAATTCAGCTCGATCATCGGAGAAGTGGCTCGTGAAGTCTATATTGCAAAAGTAAATATATATAGCTACCTAATGATGATTATTGCTAATAATAACTAATTTAGTAGTCATACAACTAATCAAATTTGAATGTACTTTA